GGGGGCCCGGGGGGCCGGGACCACCTCCGGGGCCAGGCTGGCCTTTTTCCCACCCCCGGGGGCGCCTCCCGCGACGGCGCGGGTCCCGGCGAGGAAGGGAAGCAGCGCACTCTCACCACCCTGCTTGAGAAGGTGGAGGGCTGCAGGCACCTGCTGGAGACGCCTGGGCAGTACCTGGTATACAACGGGGACCTGGTGGAGTACGAGGCGGACCACATGGCCCAGCTGCAGCGGGTCCACGGCTTTCTCATGAACGACTGCTTGCTGGTGGCCACCTGGCTGCCACAGCGGCGGGGGATGTATCGCTACAACGCCCTCTATCCCCTGGACGGTTTGGCCGTGGTCAATGTCAAGGACAACCCGCCCATGAAGGACATGTTCAAGCTGCTGATGTTTCCCGAGAGCCGCATTTTTCAGGCGGAAAATGCGAAAATCAAACGGGAGTGGCTGGAAGTGCTGGAGGAAACCAAGAGGGCCCTCAGCGAGAAGAGACGAAGGGAGCAGGAGGAGGCCGCAGCTCCTCGAGGGCCCCCCCAGGTGACGGCCAAAGCCAGTAACCCGTTTGAGGATGAAGAGGACGATGAGCCCGCCGCTCCTGAGGTCGAAGAAGAGAAGGTGGACCTCTCGATGGAATGGGTCCAGGAGTTACCTGAAGACCTGGATGTCTGCATTGCCCAGAGGGACTTTGAAGGGGCCGTTGACCTGCTGGATAAGTTGAACCATTACCTGGAAGATAAGCCCAGCCCACCTCCTGTAAAAGAACTAAGGGCCAAAGTGGACGAGCGGGTCCGACAGTTGACCGAGGTGCTGGTTTTTGAACTCTCCCCAGATCGGTCCCTGAGAGGTGGTCCGAAGGCTACTCGCCGGGCAGTTTCTCAGCTCATCCGGCTTGGCCAGTGCACAAAGGCCTGTGAGCTGTTTCTGAGAAACAGGGCGGCAGCTGTGCATACGGCCATCCGTCAGCTTCGCATCGAAGGTGCCACTTTACTCTATATTCATAAGCTGTGTCATGTCTTCTTTACCAGCCTTCTTGAGACTGCGAGGGAATTTGAGACGGATTTCGCAGGCACCGACAGTGGCTGCTACTCTGCCTTTGTGGTCTGGGCAAGGTCGGCCATGGGCATGTTTGTGGATGCTTTTAGCAAGCAGGTGTTTGATAGCAAGGAGAGCCTCTCTACAGCAGCTGAGTGTGTCAAAGTGGCGAAGGAGCACTGTCAGCAACTGGGTGACATCGGACTAGACCTCACCTTCATCATCCATGCCCTTCTGGTGAAAGACATCCAAGGGGCCTTGCACAGTTACAAAGAAATCATAATCGAAGCCACTAAACATCGCAACTCTGAGGAGATGTGGAGGAGAATGAACTTGATGACCCCAGAGGCGCTGGGTAAACTCAAAGAGGAGATGAAGAGTTGTGGGGTGAGTAGCTTTGAGCAGTACACAGGAGATGACTGCTGGGTGAACCTGAGTTACACAGTGGTTGCCTTTACCAAACAGACCATGGGCTTCTTGGAAGAGGCCCTGAAGCTGTATTTCCCAGAGCTGCACATGGTACTTTTGGAGAGCCTGATGGAAATCATTTTGGTCGCTGTTCAGCACGTGGATTATAGTCTTCGCTGTGAGCAGGATCCAGAGAAGAAGGCTTTTATCAGACAGAACGCATCCTTTCTGTATGAAACAGTCCTCCCTGTGGTGGAGAAAAGGTTTGAGGAAGGTGTAGGGAAACCTGCCAAGCAACTCCAGGACCTGAGGAATGCATCCAGGCTTATTCGTGTGAATCCCGAAAGCACAACCTCAGTGGTCTGATGCTTGGATCTGTTTATATGTATGCGTATATATTGCTTCTATATTATTTATATTTATGTTAAATTGCATTAGCATTTTCTCTGTAGTCTCAAACACAGCTTAACAATAAAAGATGACCTCTCAGATAGAAATCCAAAAGTAGAAAGAAAAAAAAATGTTAATTAAGCCCAAATAACAAAAACATTGCAATTAATAAAATAATATAATATGCTTTCCTTTTAAATTATGCTAACTCTCTAATGAACATATTGTCACACTGTATCATTTCAGTTTATCCTTTGAGTCAAAACATACTTTCTCATAGGATATATTATGCAGCCCAGGGAAATAATATCTATAAGTATTTTATGAAAAGTTTCCCAGTTCACTAAAATGTTAGATTTCTTCAAGGGTATAGTGCCATACAAGACACCCTCCTTCATGTACTTCCCCACCTTAAAATGTGATTGAACAATTCTGGACAATGAAAGGAGGAGTTGAGAAAATTGGTTTTAGGGTAAATTTTGTTAAGAATTTCTTCCTGAAATTAGCTAGTTTGTGCACTCAAATACTCTGATCCTTATAGAATACAAGAGGAAGCTTTCATAAAGCAGTTCAGACATTTCCAATGTGATTCAAATGGCTAATTGTTTTTAGCTGCTAATTAACAGCTTTATAATATTTGATTTGGGAGCAGTTACTTGAAAATCTTAAGGATTATGACAAATATTTTTTCCAACATATTCCTGAACTGTGTGACTGTCCAGCTGGAGCTTTTGTCTTTATCATTAAAAAAATAAAAATAAAAAACAGGACACATTGAGGAACCTGGCAGCACCAGTGATTTTTAGCTGTCCCTTCCCCCCTATTCTATAGTGGCTCACACTTCATACAAATTCATTGAAATACTTATTTTAGATTTCTGGTGGATGGGAAATTAGAAAAAATCATATGCAAACTCCATAGTGTTCTCAAGTATAACTGCTTTGAGCAGAGAAAAGTTTTTAATTTTCACATAACAGAATGGAAAACAGAAAGATGAGACAGTGCACCCAAAACAAAGGGAGGAAGAGAACCTTTTGGTGACTCCTAAAATGCTCCAGTCTGCATTTTTATTGTTTTATCTTTTATTTTACTTACTTTGTTTTTTACAGTGAACATAATGCTTACTTCAGATTGTTTAGTAAAACAAAAATAACTAAAGAAATTTTAATTTCCCAAGATTTCTAATCTATTGCTTCAATTGTATATTGGTTGTATAACATTCCTCATACTCTGAGAGAAATTGTGCCAGCTGAGATCCATTTTCCCCCAGTTTCTAGTTGTGATTCTTGTCCCTAGGTGCAATTTCTGATCCTAATTACTTCAAAAGGTCATTTCTTTTATCTGAATTAGTGGTATTAAGACTGTGGGAATTATGTAAAACCTCAAATAGCTTCCAAATACTGGCTTAATGTTGTAAAGCTCCTTGAGTTAATTTTTCTCATGCCAGAGGACCCTTTTATTTTATTTTTAGCTATGCCTACTTAAAAGGTTGAAAATTACCAGAGTTACAGATTTCTTTGACTAATTTTTTACATAACTTTAGGATTTTCTAGATAATAACCACACTGGATATCTCAGCTGAACAAAAAGAATTATAATTTGTCTCTTTTAAGATCACTGGAAACTTGAATTTGATAAAAAAAATTGCAATTATTTTGTGCCACTTACAGTTTCTAAAATGATATTGTATGGAACACATATTGTGTAAATATTTGACGCTGGGTACATAAAATGATCCTTCTGAAATCAGAACTTTTGAGGCTTGAAGTTGTAAAAACTTAAATGTATACACTCCGATATTTAAATGGTTGTTCTTCATAGAACTGTCTGCTTTTGAAAACTGGAAGCTGCAGCTGAAGGGAGTATGCTTTGGGTGCATCAGTTGGTGTGGGAGGTTGATTAAAGACCACCAGTGTTAAGAGTGTGCCTTCGTGCCAGGACAGAGCAATTACATTGTGGGTCTTCAGAGTGAGGGCAGAGCTCTCCTCTCTGATTCTTGTTTCATTGGACTCCAAAGCAAGTTCTAAAACTTGAACGCACTTAGAGATTGTCCAGAATGTAGCACATACCGTACTGTACCACTGAAGGGTTGATTGCCGCATTTGCTGGCCTCAGACATAACACTGTCACTTGCGCTTGGAATCACAGACTTGATTGAACTCATTATTGTTGAAAAAGGACACCCTGTGGAATTAAGTTTCTTTTTGATTAAAGCCTCATGTCATGTAAGGGCTGAGAACTCACTCACTTTTGTTTAAAATACTACCTATAGCTAACTGATCAGCATTTGTATTTTGTAACTTGCTTACCTAGGATTGGGAATTTGGCACTTGACATGCAGTATAAAATCAGTCTAATGTACATTTTGCCTATTGGTATGCTGTGATATGAGGGAATCTGAAATGTTTATTAAAATAAAGCTGACAATTTTTCTTACACTGGATAAAATTGGTTGATAATACCATGTTCTACTCTGTCTCTTCTTTAATCATGATTTAATATTCCTATGTCCTTGTTACTGAAATACAGTTTTAAACAGCATAGGTTGTTTTTTGTTTTGTTTTTACATATGGGGATGATGGGTAGGAAGCTGTTAGCTAATTTAAATAAGTGTTCTGCTTACTATTAGAATTGTGGGTAAATCAGATCTCAATTTTGGGAGGATTTCCTTCAATGGGAAATTTCAGCTATACCAAATGCAAATTTACAAGTGGATTTTATACCATTGCACATTCCTAAATGGAGAAAATATAATGTAGGCCATATGACAAGCATGTATTTTTTATTTTTTTTTATTAAAAAAATTTTTTATGGACTTTAGAGAGAGGAGAGAGAGAGAGAAAAACATCGGTGTGGTTTCACTCCTTTATGCAGGCATTGGTTGATTCTTGTATGTGCTCTGATGGGAGATGGAACCCCCAACCTTGGCTTATCGAGATGATGCTCTAACCAACTGAGCTACCTTGCCAGGGCTAAGGATGTTTTGTGTTGTTTTTTTAAGTGATATTTAAATCCTGGGAGAACTATCACATATAATTGACGTAAACATATTTATTGAATGCCATGTCTCACACTGACTATAATGTGGGCAGGGACGACAAACGTTACTTAAGCATGCTTTCTCTTAAGGTGCTGTAAAATTGGCCCAAATGGGCCCCAGCTGGTTTCCTGAAGGGTCCCAGGTTCGATCCTGGCCAAGGGCACATACCTTCGTTGCGAGCTGGACGCCCAGCCCTGCTGGGGTGCGTGCAGGAGGCAACCAATTGATGTGTCTCACTGATGTTTCTCTCTCTCTCCCTTCCACTCTCTGAAAAGCAATGGAAAAAATGTCCTGGGGTGAGGGTTAAAAAATAATAATAAATTGGACAAAGCGGTGAGCAGGTGTGGGGTGGAGGGGACCAATGCGGGGGGGAGAGTGGACATCTGTAACACTTTCAACAATAAAGATAAGCTTATTAAAAAATGGGACAAAATGAAGGTTAAAAATTGGAATAAATAAATTTGAGGAGAAATGCAAAACTATTGCTAATTAAGTTAATGAAATAAAATGAATGAAAACTTGCAAAAAACCCCAATAAAACTGTTGTCGTTTAAGTACTATGGGAGTGCCCAGAAGGGAGCGAGCAGTGTTATTTTGAGGGATTTGGAAAGTGGCCCCGAAATGACATGTGTGAATAGGTCTATAGGACACATTTCTAGTAACCGCTCTGCCAAACTGTTCATTTCAAGTTTAGGTAAAACATTGTCAAGCTGCTCGTCAGGCCAGTTGCACCACTTTACCTTGTCCCCAAAACACCTGTTTCCTTACCTGCTCACCCACACCCATTCTTTCTTCTTAATAATAGGATTACTGTCATTAGGTTTAGTTATTTTTACTAATCTTATCTGTGATAACAAAAGATTGGAAACTCCCCAAAGCGTATCAATTGCCAATTAAAATAAAAAATTCAGTTTCTCAGTTACACCAGCCACATTTCAGGTGTAAACAGCCACAGACGGCTAGGGGACAGCACCCTGCCGGCAGACCTGGGGGTGGAAAGGGAGCGAGGGGTCCAAGGGGTGCAGTTTGCAACAGGCAGAACTGAGAAAACGGTGAAAGTTGTGTCTTTGCCTCAAACAGACCCCGCTGCCGTTTCCTTTGAAAGAATCACTTCTCACTTCACGCTTTATTTTCTTTTGCCTTCTGTTTCATTCACTTTTTATCGTTCCAGTCTCCTGTGCCCTGACTCTCCTTTCTCTTTCCCTGATTTTTATTAAATACTATTTATTGACTACAAGAAAATTTCGCTTCCCGTTATAGTGGACTTGGTATTTCTCACCAACCCTTCCCTGAGGACAGTTAGAACTACTTTATAAAATATATATGCAAAGAATATGTTTAAAGGCTGTGGTATAATAAAAACACGTGCCTGGTGTTTCTCCCTGGTTCTTGGCACAAAGCTTCAAAATCCTTGGTGTTTTGCGGTTTCCTTTGTTACGTTAATACGGTGACGTCTGGTGAGGCCCCCAGATAGCTTCAGGATGGGGACTGGTCCCCAGAAAAACCAACCACATGATCAGAGGACTGGAATTTTCAACCCCTACTCCCACCCCAACCTCTGGGGACGTGTAGGATGCAGGACATTGAGGTCAGTCGCAGCCAATGATTTCATCAAGGGCGCCTGGATGGAACCTGGGTAACGCTCAGAAGACTCTGGAGCTTCCTGGTTGGCGGACATATGGATGTCCTGGGAGACATCACATCCAAACCCCACAGGGACAGAGGATCTTGTGTCCCTCCACCCCCCTCCGACCTTGCCTTATGTGTGTCTTTCATTTGGCTGTTCCTGAGTTGTGTCTTTTATAATAAACTGTAATCATAAATATAGCACTTGTCTGAGTTCTGAGTCATTCTAACCAATTTTCAAACCTGGAAGGGTTGGGAAATGTCACGGGACGCTCCAAACTTATAGCCAGATGGGGAGAATGGTGACTTGGGGACACCCAGGACTTGCAGCTAGCGTCTGAAGACAGGGCGGTCCTGTGGGACTGAGCTCCTTAAACTTTGGGGTCAACACGAACTTCAGATAGTTAGTGTCAGAACTAGGTTGAATTGTAGGACGCTCAGCTGGTGTCAGAGAACCGGTGTCAGAACATGAAGGCATTGGAGAGCTAACAAGGGAGTGAAAAATTAAGGGGTAAAAATCCAAAAGGAAATCCAGGGAGGTGAGCCCAGCTCCTGAAAGTATTTTTTCCTAGAGCCATCTGCAGTTTTACAAGTGGCTGAGAAGTTGAAACAGGCTGTCAACAGATACATAGAACTAGAGAGACAAAAATTGGACTGTAGGGTGAAGCACAAAAGGGTGCCGCTGGTAAAATCCCATCTAAGCTTTGGATTGGAACCCCAAAAAGTCATACCCTACGAATAAAGAAAACCCTCATTGGATGAAGGGGATCTGAGATTGCTAGTGCCTCTAGTGGTTGGCCAGAAGCAAAATCTTTTATCGAATATGATGCCATTCTCCTAGGCCTCAAATAGGCTCTGTTGTTTTTATGTACAATGTTCAGCATGCAAATAAAAATGAGATCTATCAGGAAAGGAGACTATTTGACTAAACCCCAAGAGAAACATGCGCAGTAGAAACAGACTAACAGAAGACCCAGATAAAACACACAGACTTTTAATGTGTTCACAGGAATAAAATATATATATATATATATATATATATATATATATATTTTTTTTTTTTTTTT